AGGTGCTGGCACAGGGTGCCCAGAGAAGTTGTGGCTGCCCCATCCCTGGCAGTGTTCAAGGCCAGGTTGGACACAGGGGCTTGGAGCAACCTGCTCTAGTGGAAGGTGTCCCTGCGTGTGACAGGAGGTTGGAACTGGAGGAGCTTTAAGGTCCCTTCCAACCCAAACCAGTCTGTGGTTCTGTGATTTTATGAAGCAGTACAGGCAGGAGCACCTTGGTATGACAAACTCCCTGAAAAGGGAAATGTGTTGGAGTACCTCAACGCAAGACATCCACCCCCTGCTAGCTCCAGGAGAAGCTCATGGTGCCCAGGAGGAGCTGATGAGCAGGGGCAGTCCTGGAGCTGGGGTGCCAGGGGCTAGAGGGAATCCTGCCCTTACCGCTGACTGCTCCGCCAGCTTGCACTGGGTGTCCCTAGTCGTGCCCTTCGCCTCCTGCAGCTCCTTCCCCATTGCCATCCTGGACACACAGGAAGAAGCCATGTTTTTTAAACCCCTCAAGTTCTCTGTACGTCCAACAGAGCCAGTTTTGAGAAGGAAGTCGCTACAGGATGACAGAAATCCCTCTGCAGCAGATGCCAGCCCCTAGATGTGTGCCAGCCAGCGGCCACAGAGCTCTCACAGCCAAAGGTGACTGTACCCGCCAGCCAGAGGGTCTAGTTCTGTAGTGTCCCTGCTGGAGTAGCCTTTCCTGGGACACTGACCCCATCCCAGCCTGTCAATGGAAGAACAGCCATGGGGGCAAGGTCTGGGGCTGGGTTTATCTCTGGGCTGTCACATATGTGCTGCATGGGTCACAGAAGGTGGATTTTTAAAGTTGCATTGGCCAGTTGAGTACTTAACCACCACCCACTTCTAGGCAGGCATTTAACCCTCTAAAGGGCCTTGTAAACATCAGGTTTTGCTTCCAGGACTCACTTCTCTCAAGAGTGAATCACCATTTCCCACCCTGTACCCCACCAAAGGCAGGCTGTCTCCTCTCCTGTTCCTAAGGATCAAATTCATCTGCAATGAGCTCCATAAATGCCCAGCCAAACACAAGGACATGCCATCAAACACTCACACTCTCTCTTCCAGCTTCTGTTGCTGCAAATCATAGGTTTTCTTCAGTTTTTCAAGCTCCACTTTTATGTGATCCTGGTTTCCAAGCAACTGAGGGACAAACGAAGAGGAAGATGAGACAGAGGGCTGAGCTAAGAGAGGGATTCATGAGGGGGGAAGAAGTGAGGAGAGCCTCCAGCTGAGCGGTGACATACTGGGGAAAGGATGGGTTTCACTGAGAGTGACCAGCTCTGTAGGACACCAGAAGCTGTGTGTGATCCAGAGATAGAGTACACATGTTGCTCTCCCAGCGGAAATTCTCACACCGAGAGTCAGATTCCCAGCAGGAGCTGATGGCAGAGCCCAAGCTGGTTTTGCATGGGCTGCAGATGGGAAGGAGGCAGGAAGCATCTCCGTGCTCTCAGCTTTGGGTGCTTTATCACCCCCATCTTTCTCAAGTATTGGCAAGAAGAAAAGAAGTAGGTGTCCTCTGCACTTGTTGGCTTCTAAACCTCTGCCTCTGTTCAGCCAGGGGCACTGGCTGAGGGAACCACAACTGCCCTCTCTCAGCTTCTGCCTGCAAAAGATTATTCTAGTCTCATTTTTCAACTGCACTGCTTAAAAAATTATAGTTTATAATCAATCAAGGCATCAGCTCATCCACAAAATTCAAGTTAGCACCAGGAGGTGCCAGCCACAGTCGAAATAAAGTCCCCCTCTGCTTCCCCAAGGATCTGGCAGCAGACCCCCACACACTCACATTTCTCTCCAGTTTTTGTCGTTCATGTTCAGAGGCAGCTACATCTTCTGACTGGTTTTAGCAAGAGACAGAAGAAGGTGCCTGGTAACCCTTTGTTCTTCAAAGAGCTGATGGCAGGGCAGGGAGGTCTGTCCTTACCTTCACCTTCTGAGCCGAGAGGCGACGCACCATTGTTCTCACTCTTCCCAGCTCAGCAGAGGGTTCACCAGCCATGGCAGGGGAGTGGCTGGCATTGGCCAGGATGAGCAGCTCTCGGCTGAGCTCTTCATTCTTCATGACCTGCCAGGTCAAACAAGAAGAAAAGAGCTTCTGAAATGCTGCCTCTCCAGCTCTGCACAGTGTCTGTTCAGCACATACCTGCTGCTCTCGGTGCCTGCACAAGGCAGGCACTCTCATCCCCTCCTAAAAGCAAGCTTTATTCTTAGTTGTCTCTTATATGTCCAAAGATACCAGTGATTATCTAATCCTCATGGAAATGCAGGGTGCCACCATAGATTAATAGAATCATAGAATGGTTTGGGTTGGAAAGAACCTCCAGATCATCCAATGCCAACCCCCTGCCACAGGCACGGACACCTTCCACTAGAGCAGGTTGCTCCAAGCCCCATCCAACCTGGCCTTGAACACTGCCAGGGATGGGGCAGACACAGCTTCTCTGGGCACCCTGTGCCAGCGCCTCAGCACCCTCACAGGGAAGAGCTTCTGCCTTATATCTAACCTGAACTTCCCCTATTTCAGTTTAAACCCATTCCCCCTTGTCCTATTGCTACAGTCCCTGATGAAGACTCGCTCCCTGGCATTCATTGCCAGGCATCAGGATTATTAACATGGAACCTCTCTCCCTCTGCCCATCTCATCCTGGCATTGAAATTCAAAGCCCTGTGTCAGCCTAGCCAGCTCTGACACCCTGCCTTGATCCTAACTTCCAGCCTTCCTCCTCACTTTACCCCTGCACCCTCCACACAGCTCCCCAGTACTTCAGCCATGTCTTTCTCCACACAACAGCTTTGAACAGTGCTGGACTCCATGATGTAAAAGAAGGGCCAAATTTCTATCCATCCATCTATCTAGGCTGACACCACCCAGCTAATTCCAGTTTTGTTTGAATGCATCTCTCCAGCAGCAGCCAGCCCACAGCACCATGTAGGCAGCGAGATTCAAAGCCCTGCTGGTGTGAAGTGACACATTTCCAAAAGATAAAGAGGATCTGAATGAGAAAGGCTCTGTTACAGGTGATCTGGAAGGAACACTGGGGGAATTCATGTCTCACGGGAGGGTTTCTATGTAGATAACAAAGCTTTGATGGGGTTTATGACTGGGGACAAGCTTGAGTAATTGTTACCATGGCAGTGAATCGGGATGATGGGAGGCAGAGGTCATCTGAGTCATCCGTGGAGAGAATAGCTTATCAAAAGATAGCACAGGGTGGGCTGAGGGGGAGAGAGGAGAAAGGAGGCTGACAAAGAGGTGAGATATACAGCTGTGAAAACTGACAGTTACGCAGAGACAGGCTGCTTGTTCTCCAACCAAAAATGATCCAGCTGCAGCTGCCTGCCCTGACAATTCGATCAGAGGGGGTCACACAAGCGCTGAAGTACCAGCCTAGAGAAAGAAAGAGGCAGTCCCAGGTTTGGAATGGGCATTGCTGCCTCCTCTGTGCTCCCAAGCCTGGCCTGGCTCCAGGGAAAACCCCGGCGTGGAACCAGTTCGCAGCCAGTTGGGTTCCCTCCACAGCCTCACTTTGTACTGCCGCAGACGACGTGAGCCTGTGGAACAAAGGAGAAGGAGGAAACGGAGAGTCAAGGAAAGGTCAGAGGCTTGAAAAGGAAGAATTTACAACGAGTTAGAAAACAGGCACAAAGTGCCTGCCTGGCATCTTCTGGAAGGCACTTCCCCAGGGACAGGCAAGGCCAGCTCCCTGCTCCTTCGCCCAGGACGATGTGTGAATTGAGCCGCACAATGAGCACCGAGGACAATCCAGAGGCTCTCACTGCTCCTGTACAAGGGACCATGAATGAGCTCGCCGAGCTGCTGCTGCGCCAAGCAGCCATGACAACATATTGGCAAGGTCACAAGTAGCACTTGTAATTGGGAATGTGTAAAAGGTTCATTGTCTCCCCCAAAGAGTGCCGGGGAAGGGGAGGGGGCAGAACCACAGGCTGCTTTTCCCATTTCCTTTGGGAAAGTCCACACTGGGAAAATAATGAGCAAGAGGCCCATGCTGTGACAAGTCCCAGCCTGCCAAGTTGGAGCCTCTTTTGCTTCAGGCAGGGATAGTTGATAGTCAGAGCCAAGAAACTGGGGGAAAACGCTCACCCTACCAATTACAACCAAGGATTCACTTTTGGCTTCTGGACCCTGCTCCACCACCTCTTCAGGGTGCTATCCAGGCACATGACTGAATCCAAGTGCTTTCACTCTGAAACATTCCAGGATCCATGTGAAGCCCCTGTGTTATTGCTGCTAACCTGCTAAATCTGTCACTGAGAGATATCAGCCACCTCAAAATCCCATTTTTGATAAACACATTGCACCCCCTTGGGGACAAGAAGCAGCTGAGACTGCTGAAGGCTGAGCTGTTCCCTGGTGAGCCTGGCAGTACCGTGTCCCAGCAGCGTGCTGCCTTGCTGGCAGTCAGCTGCACGCGTGCTGCCTCGTGCTCTAGCAGGACTAGGGGGCAGGTTCACACCCGTGCAGGAGCTGAGCTTGCCTCCTCCTAAGACATCTCCATTTCTCAGCTTATGGGAGACAAGCAATAGTTTCACGAGTCACTAACTTGCTTATTTGCAGCGGATTGATGATGATCTTCTATCCTCAGAGCTCTCCTGAGCAAAGATCCCCATAAAACCAGACCAGACACTGCCAAAACCATCACATCTGGGCCCAGCCCCACATCTTCCCATCACAGCTCTGCACAAGGCCAGCACAGAAAACCAGGTCATTTGGTTGAAGCAGCTAAACTATCTGCTGGGGGAGGGAGGCAGGAGGGTGTCAGTCATTCAATCCAATTCAAAAAGGAGAGCAGGAGGGGGGAGAGGGAGGGGAGAGAGGAGCCCCTATTCTTGCCAAAGAATAGTTCCAATCTGAGTCCAAAAAACTTCATTAATAATTGCTAAGCTATCAGTCATCAGCAATTTTACTATATTTTAAGGAGCAATCAGAAAACTTGCTTGTATTCAGTGTTTTTCTAAACTTGCTGACCCCAAAAACCTGCAGGCCCCTTCCCACCACTGTCTGAAATGAGAGTGACTACAAGCAGTTCACGTGCAGCCTGCTCAAGCCATGCAGAAGGAAAGGGAAACAAAGCGTGCTGGCAGTCAGGAGGGACCTGCAGTGTGCACCCGGGCCAGCCCCGCCGTGACCCCCTTGGAACTGCTGGTGACGGGCTCTGGGACGGAGGACTCTGACAGCGGGGTGCCTGGATGGGCACAGAGTCAGGGTGGGCTCAGCACTGTCCCTGTCGAGCAGAGAGGGTTCTGCAAGCCCTGCGAGAAGGTGATTACCTTCCATGAGCCTGATAACAAACCCATGCCCAAGCTATGCTGGCTCACAGCTGACAAGCGGTTCTGGACCTGAGCTGTGATACACAACCCACAGCCAAGCCGTGTGCAGATCAGGTGAACCAGAGAGCACCAGAGTGAACAGTGTCTCACCTCCTGGTCCAGTTCTTTGCCTAGGGCCAGGTAATTGCTTTTCAGAATGATATACTCATCCGCCAGCTCCTTCCGACTGGTCTCCAGAGCACGCAGGCCTTCCCGCAAGGCATCTCGCTCCCCACTGACCTTCTCACTGCAGAGCTCCAGCTCCAGCACACGGGTCTCCAGGGCCAGGATCTGCAGAGGGGAGGCAGCAGAATTAGACTGTGGCAGAGATCAGCAGCAGCCACAGGGTATTTATTTGGCCAAACAGGTTCTGGCCATACTATGACTTCAAGAGAGATGAGTTTCATGTGAGTTTCTGGGCACTGAGGAGGAACCCCTTGCTCTAGCTAAAGCTAGGAGAATATGCCAAGCAAAGTAAAGATGGATGTGCAACAAACTGCATTTCTGGGTAAAGGTGTTGGCAAAGCTGAAAGCAGATACTTCAAACTTTGGGATACCATGTTTTTCAGTTCAAAGTTCTCTGTCTCATACTGCTCCTTCATTTTGTTTGTCTCGATCTGGAGGTCAACGAGGTCTTTGGAAATCTAAGAGAGAGACAAAAGACACTATAAAGGCCATGGATCCTGAGGCCAGCATACTGTTCCAACAGGGAATTTGAGTACAACACACCCTCCCCCTAGAAAGAGGCATTTCCCACAAGGTTTTCCACCACGGATCTACTGGTCTCATGTGGCTTCATGGCTCAGTTCTCTCCAACTCCCCAGGTATTTGGTTTACCTTCAGTTTTTCCTCTTCGCTGAAGCCCATTCTGGCTGACAGATCTGGTTTGGAGCCAGCCAGCTTCCCCATCCTCTCAGGCAGGTCTCCAAGCTGTCCCAGCCTCTCATCCCTATCCTGCAGCTGCACCTAGAGACACACAACAGCTCCCACAGCTGGTGCCAGCCAGCAGAGCCCTGTGCTCCCACCACAGCGCTGCTGGAAGAGCACAGCACATCCAGCTTTTCAGAGCCTGAACAGACTGCAGATGGGATTTTCAGCTGCCATTTCCCTCCTGCAATTTGGATTTCATTTGCAGAGCACCGGTTCCATGAGCTGGGAAGAGGCTGCAGCCCTTCATACTTAGATTTTCATTACCAAGATGCTGCACATGCTCTGTTAGAGTACTTACGTTCTTCTCTGCAACAGTTCCAAAATCCATGTCTTGGAGGCCACGTTCTTTGAACAGTATCCAGCAGCAACTGAAGAGCAAAGGAAGGATCTAAGGATCTCTATGGCACCAAGTTTCTCCTCGAGGTCTGGCACAAGCCACGTTGCTATCAACTTTGGTTACCAGAGGGTGTGGCATCCACCTGGGATTTAAGGTGGAGCCAATTATTACAGTCACCCCCAGGAGCTGTTAGAGGCAAAGAAATGGTGCTTGTCAAGAGGTTTCTGTATTCCTAAGACAGCACACAACAGAGACCAAAACAAGGAGCTTAGCAGATACCATCAGTGAAGCAATATTGCCAGCTAGGAGGTACCACTCTGTTTGTATTATGGACCATTCCCCAAACCCGGCTGTAGGGATGGCCTCCATCTCTATTACAGGGATCTTTAGAGAATTTAAGATTTGATTAACTCATTAATTAAACTGTTCATCCAACCATCTGGTAGCATCTATCATCAACCTGCTTCCAAGCAATTCTCTCCTGATCTCTGCCATCCTCGTATCTCCTGTGCCAATGAGCCATCCAAATGGTGCCAGCATCTTCGAGCTCTGACCAAGCTACAGATGCTGGCAGGAAAGACCTTCCCCAACTTTTCACTTCACATCAGAGATGCTGCATGGAAAAATAGCAGTTTCAACACGAAGCATGCACTGAAACAAGCTCTGATGAGCCCACACAGAGCTCAGACTGGGTGGTGCTGGGCTACATGCTGCCACTGCCTCCAAATTGTGACCATCCAGGCCTGGATGGGATAATTCCCAAGTGTGTGCAAAGCTAAAAGGACATGAACAGAGTATCTAATGTGCAAGTGATACTATCAGAGTGCAAGACCTGATGGAAAACACTGGAAAACTTTGGTGAACGTCAGCCCTGGGGTAAAACAATTGCCAGTTCTTCATCTCCTCACTTCAGGCTCATGATCGCTGCTATTTCTGGAGAGCGAGTAAGTTTAGGTAAGAATCTGTCACAGAAGGAAAACTTTTGACTCTGAAGAACTCCCTAGTACCTGTCAAAGCTAAAAGAAGGAAAGAGGGAGAGAAGCTCCATGCCCAGCAGGGTTTGCCAGCTCCTCACCAGCAGAGTATGGTCCAGGCCGTTGGAGATCCTGTAGCCTCTTGACATGGACTGCATGGACCATGCAAGTGAGACCCAGGGGCTGAGTTCTTCTGGGGCGAGGGGGAAGAAGAAGCTAACAAAACATGCAATTGTCTTACTTTTCTGCAAAAGAACTTAACAGACTTGAAGTGATTGTATTAAGGTAATGAAAGTGCTGATGAGAGCTCACATTCTCTTCACACCCACTGCTGAGCAGAAAGCCAAATTCACACACCGCCCACAGTGCCGAGGGGCTCACAGGTCTCCTACGGATGCTCCAGCACGTGGAGGAGCTGAGCTGCAGCTCCTCTCCCAGGGTGCACGCTGACTCCTCCAGCCCTCAGCCCCACATGGGCCCCCCAAGGACAGGAGCTCCCAGCACATAGTGCCCAGTGAGGGGTGCAGGGTGGCTCATGCCACTGCCACAGACAGCCACAGCCCCAAGCAGTGGTGTAACGGACCCTAAGAGACCCAATTCAGGAGAGCAAACAGCCCACCCCATCATGCCAGCAAAGCCCCGTGCACCCTGAGCTGCAGTAGTGCCTGTTTCATAGAATCACAGAACCACAGACTGGTTTGGGTTGGAAAGACCTTAAACCTCATCCAGCTCCAACCACCTGCCACGAGCAGGGACACCTTCCACTGGACCAGCCAACCTGGCCTTGAACACTGCCAGGGATGGGGCAGCCACAGCTTCTCTGGGCAACCTGTGCCAGCACCTCAGCACCCTCACAGGGAAGAACTGCCTAAGATCTCATCTCAATCTCCCCTCTGGCAGGTTAAAGCCATTCCCCCTTGGCCTGTCCCTACAGGCCCTTGTCCGAAGCCCCTCTCCAGGTTACCTGTAGCCCCTTTAGGCACTGGGAGCTGCTCTAAGGTCTCCCCTTAAGGAGCCTTCTCTTCTCCAGGCTGAACCAGCCCAGCTCTCTCAGCCTGTCTCCAGAGTAGAGCTGCTCCAGCCCTCACAGCATCTCCATGGCCTCCTCTGGACTCTCCATAGAATCACAGAAATGTTTGGGTTTGAAAGGACCTTAATATCATCTAGTTCCAACCCCCCTGCCATGAGCAGATCAACATCTGCTGTTGGTTGCAAACTCTTGTGAGAAATCTTCCTGGTGATTTTAAGGATATAAGGACTTTTGAATAGATATATATTGAACAACTCAAAGAATTTTCCCATTATGAGGATTAAGGCCCAAATTTGATTTTTATTCCCTGTAGACTTTATTTTTTTATTCCTTTTCCAGGTTCAATGTAAAATCTTAAAGTGTTAAATTATGTGATGCTCATGAATTAGCCAATATCCTGGTTTACTTTTGGTTTTATGTTTAAACTTACTTAGTTATATGAAGCTTTACCTTCATATCTACCACTTTGTTGTACCTATCAGCCATCCTATACTGCATTCCAGTAGTCAACAATGTAATTTTAGACCATTTCCTAATAAAAGTATTCAAAACTTAGTATTTTAATTTAGCAAACAGGTGAAAAGTTAAGTAACCAGAATATAACAGTGTTCAGATTAGATCAACCTCAAGAATGTATGGAAATGGTTCAATAATTCAATGATTTCATTAACAACCCCCTTTGTAAGCACTTGATTTGTTTCAATCTAATCAACTGCACTTGCATTGTAGATTGTCAGAGCACAAACACCTTGGCATGGAAATCCACACTCTGTTGCCTGTAATTTGATGCAGTGGAGGGATGTGTCTGTGATTTGTGTGGTCAAGGAAGGCAGAAGGAGCTGCCAGGAGGCAGCAGGTTAAATGGAAGATCCCCCTACTTTGACACCCTGTGCAGCCAGGGTGTTGTACTGCTCCACAGCCTTCTCTGTTTGCAACACCAACACATCGATCCCGTTTTTCTTCAGATAGTCCACAGTGGATGCTGGAACCTCAGAAGAGAAAAGGAAATGGGTAAAGCAAGTAAAGCTTACATTGTAAAGCTTAAAAATAAAAGATACTGATGCCATTTATTAGTAGAGACATCTAAGTAACTTATAGTAGCCAAACTGATAATATAGAATCCCAGAGTGGTTTGTGTTGGAAAGGACCTTAAATCTCACCCAGGGCCAAACCCCTGCCC